GGTCTAGAGTCACTATATTTGGTTTTTAAAATTTTCTTCTGCGCTTAATGGAAATTTTAATATGCTAGTTTTCTACATCTTGATTTACAGAAAGCTACTGACATATCAAACCACCGTCGTGTTTATATATACAAATATATATATTTCCAATAAAATTGTTTATATTTTATACCTTTTTGCTGTTTTGCTGTATTGTATACGTCGTTAACTAAGAACATAGAGAGTCGGTCAATCAGTTCGGTTGGTCAACAAATACTGCGTTAGGCCACTGACTGATAAATATCGATTTCCTTATATATTTACCTTTGGTGTTACTTATAAAGATTGTGTGCCTTGCTGACTTCCCTACACTTTGTATTCCTCGCAATTGCACAACTTATTTGCTTTTCTTTTTCCATACGAATAGGAGAAGTTGCCCAAGAATTACTACTTTCATTCGCCTAACGTTTTTTCGTTTTATAAAAATCTAGCAATAACTAGCTTATGTATTATATTTCTTCCTTCCTTTTTCCACGCTTGGATTCGGTTCTGCAGTTCCGCCGCACCTAATTGTCAATCAGAGTCCGGTATTAAGTTATGAATCCAGTGAGTGAAATTGTCATATACTTGTATATGTACATATGTATATGTTAAACCTCGTGTTTCTTATGATTGATCAACTTCAAAAAATTTAAGCATAATCATCAATTCGCTGTGTTCTAGAGATTTTTCTAATATTCAAGTCTTTATGTTTAATATTGCCTTATGAGATCTTCAAAGTGTTAGCTACCACATTAAACAGTTTTTTACGATCTTTAAAAATAATTTGTGGATTTATTTCACACATTTGATATAGTACAATGGTAAAGGCGGAGTCATCCAATTTTGGCGGAGAGTTATCGAATATCTAAAGTACTATAATAACTTGATTTCATTACGCTATTTACTGTTTGTACTATATATTGTATAAGCAAATAAGATGATGTTAATCAAAATCGTGCTGTATTGGAAATCGGTGTGGTAGTAATTTCATTTTCCGGTGCTAGAAATAATCTGGGAATGGTATTTTCGCAAAATCGTGTAGTTCTGTAAAATACTTTATGAAATGTGTTGGGAACTTAAAAAGTACGTTCTAGTAGTATTGCTTAGAGACAAAATTCATACAAATTTGATACATTCCAACTATGTTTATATGCTCGAAAAAAATGCAGGCAGTCCTAGGTGATTACTTGGTTACTTGCAAAGGAACATGTTTATACTCTTGATGAAGGAATTGTTCCCTTTTTTGTATGTATGTCATTTGAAAAGATTCGAAAGACTATAAAAAAGAAGAGTAATTTTCACGCTTTTAAAAAATAGTCATCTTTTCTATTTCTAGTAGTCCATTTTACAAGTAACCAATCTACCATCATAGCCAACAGATATTTGTGTGAGACTATTTAATACCTAAAACTATCTCAAAGCTATGTGTTAGCGGCTAAATCATACCCAAATTCAACTTATAGTGTGTAATGCGGGTTACTCTATTTAAAGATTACTTGCACAATTTTTTGCAGGGTTGTATTCAGCATGTGCATACATACATACAGTAAACGTTATGCTTGCTTTGTGTTGTTTTCTATTACAACTTATGTGAGCTATCGATTTACACTTTTGATTAATTACCTCTCAGACATACTCACACAAAAACCGACACATATGTATTACTTGTAGTTATTAAAAAATGGGTGTCAAGCGCTTGGGCATATGTTTATGGATGTATGTATGTGCAGTTATGCTCGTAACATTTATCGCGACTTCTCCATGGCAAATCTTTGGGAAAGAATCGTTATTGCAGGGACATCAAAGCGCTTCAGTCAAAAAGCAAAAAGATAAAAAAAAAACCAAAATATACACCGGGTAGTGGTGCAAAATCGATATCGGTATCAGGTATTTATTGTAAGCAAATGCTCACTATATAAAGGTATGTATGCAGGTCATACATACAAATACGTATACAATTATGTTCGTTTTAATAGCAGTGGGAGTTGCGATATGCTTCAATGAAAAAACTGAATTAATTGCAAGAGCAATTTAACTTTAAAGTGTTGAGACGAGGTGTTAAAAAGTAAGAAAAATTCGGACATCGCATATTTTTTATATAAAACGACCACAGGGCACTATTAATGTTTAATATAAGATATGAAATCGCATAAAACCAAACCAAGTCTGCTTGACTTTACTTGCAGAAAAATTCATTGATGAAAAAGCAGCTCGAATTCTGTAATATCGAATGCCATCTGCAAAAGAATATATGTATATAAAATAACCACTTTGGAGTTTATGTTTGCTTTGTTAAGCCGATTTTATTTTTCTTCTGAAAAAATTTAGATTTTGATTGATTTTCGTCATCTGATGTAAAATTATATTTAAAAGTATTCGAGTTAACGTTTTTCATTTTTGCAAGTTGCAAATTTTTGTTAATGAAACATCGAATTCAGCAATTACTCTAGCTGGATGTTCAATGTAGTACTTTTAGATCAAAATAAAATGTATAACTCAGAAGTTAAGGGTGAAAAGGAAGTATTTATCCTAGAACGATATAAAAACTATATTCCATATACGGTAGATCCGAATGTTCTCTTTGGTCAAATGGAAGTCCAAATACCGGGGAATCAGAATCATTGAAAGAGTGTGAGACAAGGAAGTAAGCGAAAGGAAGAAAGGTCAGTCCGATCTTAGATCTTTAGAGAAGATTTTATGACATGATACGTTCAAAATCCGGAAAATGTGGGTAAGCCATAAGATCCGAATATATGTATATCAGCACAACCTGTTGCAGGCTCGTAAAATCCGAAAAATCCGCAGATCTGGCAGCGCTGACTATGGCTGAAAGAGTATCATTACTGTTAAGGTAACTCAGTTAGAGTTATTTGTGACAAATAAATGTAGTTACGGTAAAATATAATTGGCCGTTCCTCAAGAGTCTATAAATTTACTAAAACTTGCACGGTACATATTTTCTACCACGACAGTGGTGTCAAGCTGCCTAAAAATTAAAAAAAAAACAAAAAGGTTGGTTGTTGCCAGAAATAAAATTTAATCGTCAAAACTATTCTAGTATTGTATGTTGAAGGATACAGTTCTGACGGAGAAGATTGCAGAACCTTAAGTATTTGCTTTGCTTGTCGTACAGTGGTGGATGGCGTATATATTGAATTTAAGGCTTAATTGACCTGCTCAAATATATATATTCAATCCATAGAATAGGTTATGCTGCCTTCGAAGAATGGCTCAAAACAGACGAGTAGCGGTATAAAAGATTTCTCTAGACACAACAATATTGGTAAAAGAAGTTGGATTACGCTATTCCTTGACTTAAACTTCAATGAAAATGTAGGAGAAAATATTGATTGAGTGCATGTTTTCAAAAAAATATGTACAAATAAGAACTTCTTGTTGAATGTAGAGCGCCAACCAGTTAGGGTGATAGGTGCATGGGATGAATGGAATACTGCCAAGATGTGGCGACAAAGCCTAATATTACTTAAATTATCATTTTATTATATTTCGCAATTGTAAGTTTTAGTTTTTTTAGTGAATTACAAGACTTATCGTAAAGAATTATTCGTATAATGTAATTGATACATACTAACATATATGCTAGTATTCCTCTACCTCGGATTTGATGATCCGAAAACAAGTTGAATTCAAAGTGTACTTCATCATATAAACCTTCCCGATTTTCTCATTCCTATATGAACACTGCTATTTTCGTGAACATAGCTGTACATACATTCGTCAAGGCAGCTTAACTTCGCACTTATGTACATCCGTACACACATGCGCACTCAACAATGATTGCATTGGAATACTTATGATATGCGATCAACAAATTATAGTTTGTAAATTATTATCGATGGCAAACAGTAGAAAGAAAGCAATAACAACACAAATAAATATTTATAAAAACGTTGACACTTCTATGCTTATACATATGTATGTATGTACCTATGCACAATATACATCGATGGCTCTCCATAAATGTACAAGTATATATATTTACATAGTTATACATGTAAATGTGTGACTTGTAAGAATGTTAAATGTCACCGCTTAGTGCAGACATTTTGATGGACTGGCCACAATTAGCTTTTAAAGTAGCTAAAAAAAGCTGTCTGGCTGATATTAACCAACTTTCTCGCTAAAATCACGTTGGTGAGGAAACCATTAAACGTAGATACATACATATGTATGCATGTATGTATATCAAATAACCACATTTTTTCCAATAAAAATACAAAAGATATGAGCAAGATCTAAATTAAAATTGTTTAGAGAACATAAGTTGCAATAAACAGTTATGTAACAGGTTTGAATTAGTTTTTGTATTTCTGATCTGTGTCCCTTTGCTCCGCCGCAGCATTTTCGTGCATGAAAATAAGGAATTCAAATATCAACCACGTCTATCCCCATGCAAAGGTTATGTTGAAAACCACTAAAAATGTGTTAACTCGCTAAAAAAGTACGTCAGCTTATTAACACGAAGGGACTTCAAACTGAAAACTTGAAAAAATAATATAAAAAAAAGTTTTATTCAGCAGCATCGAAGCTACGCTCACGAGTGCTTTTTTTATAGCATAATTGGTAATAAATGATTTTTATTCAGATTTGGATCGGTCAGTTTGCATGGCAGCTATATGCTATAGTGGAGATTGTCTCCGATCACTATTGGATATTGTATCGATGCCTTATATACAGCACGTAACTTTTTTATTCAATTCAATAAAAAATACACTGTGCCATTAGATTCTACAGCGAAGTAGTACACTACAAAAATTTGGGAACCCTATTCAAAAATTCAAATATTTCAGTTAAAATAAACAGTTGCAGGTTCAATGTTCGAAGCACTGTTGCAATCCACCATGAAAGTGCTGCTGCAAACAAGTTGGACGTTCGCTCAACACGTTCCACAGCAGCGAACATGCTGCGATATGTTCGTAGCGTTGCTGTATTGGTTTATCGCCAGAACGGCCAAATTCAGTTATCTTGTTGTTGGCTAGACATCGCGAGTGAAAGACGTGCGTACGGTTGCTAGAATTTTGTTGATTGGATTTTCTTCACGGTGAATTGAATGAAAAGTGTGAATAAATTGCTGATTAAACGTTAAATGAGGGATGTTTGAAAAACAAAAAAAAAACATTTGATGAAGAAGAGAATGTAAACTAAAAAGTTAAAGAGGTTAAAAAAATATATTTTTGCGTAGTGAACGGAAATTGGAAAAGTGTTGGCTGTCAAGGTGAGCGACGCTTGTGAGATAGTGCTGAGAAAACGTTGATTGAAAATCATTTCCTTGATTACGCTAAGTGCAAAATATTTTAATCTAATGGAAAAGGCAGCGGATTTTATGGCCAAATATACATATCTACATGTTCAGAAAATATAGAGATAGCGTTATTTTGTTTGTGTTATTGTTTAAGTTGTGCTATAGTGAGTTTTTCAATTTGCCGCAAATCATAACGGCAAACACTGTTCCGTGCCTCCTACGAGCAGGTGGAAGAGTTTGGGGTGCGGATTAGCATGTGTTGCGCCGCTGTGGCAAAGTGTGAAATGTGAAGCAGAAAGAATAGGAAACAGGAAGTGTTGTTGCACTTAGAGATTGACGTTGCAAAGTTTGAAAATTCACGCTGATGTGCGCTTTTGTCTGATAACCGGTGTTTGTGTTTATTCTTTAATGTCGATCATAAGTGGGTGCTCCACAGCTGGTGTAAATATTGATGATTATGTGTTTTGATTGAAAATAGAAGAGTAAAGAATAAATTTGTCCGCAGAAAGAAATATCGTAATTTAAGCGCGGATTTTTTGAGACGATTATAAATGGTGGGCTAATATTATATATTATTTGAAAGGATTACATGAAATAAAAATTTTCATACAGAAAAATAAATAAATAAATAATAATAATAATTCTGAACCTAGAACCCTAAAATATATATACCAATACAGTCGTGTTCGTTAAAGGGCTCAAATATCATGTTTTTTCTTAATAAATTGCGAAAGTTTTAATGTGAAAATGAGTTTTTCAATGCAAATAAATCAATTACTATAAAAAAATTGCTGATGTATAACTATGTTGATATATTTAAAACTTATTTTTCTACAAATGTTCACATATAATTTTAAATTACTAAATTTTTCAGTAAAATTTGTTTACTACCTCCAACAGGATTGTCAATAATACTCGTTTCTGGCATGGTGCAAACTGAAATCAAAAATACCGACATAAATTTATATCGGATGCAAAAAGAAAAAGTGAATTTGTTATAATAAAAAATAAATAAATAAAATAAAAATTACAAATAGAAACCTGAGCAAAATACAGAAAATAAATTAGAAAACAAAAAAACTTCGTGCATGGAATGTAAACATAGATTTTTTGAAACATAAAATAGCTGCAGGTGAAAATAAATGGCTATAAAGAAGTGTACTTTCATGTGTAACATAAATATAATCTAATATATAAAATTATCGTACTATATAAAAATATATTAATATAAAGTGCGCTCGAAAAAAATTGTATTAAAATATTTCAAAAATATTTTGGAAATAAAATATACCATAGAGCAACAAACAAACTGAAAAGAAATCATAAACAAGCGGAAGTGTGCTTCAGAGTTCAGCGGAAGTGAGAGTGTAAATGGTGAATTGCAAAATGTATTGAGTGTGAATAGTGAATTGGAAAATGTATTAAGTTCACAACTTTGAAATTGTAAACTCCGATACTAACAGTGAAATCAGTCACATCACAACGCTAGCATGGAGGAGGAACTACGCTGCCCGACTTGCAAACAACTTTTCGCAAATCCGGTGCTGTTGCCCTGTTTCCACGCCCTCTGCTTGGGCTGTGCACTTGACATACAGACTGCGTACACACCCGCTGCGGCCTTGGCTGCCGCCAACGCAAGTGTTGGCCACGTCTCGAACGGCAATATCAACGGCGGCTGTCTAATACATTCCCATCCATTGCATGGCGGCGCGACAGCTCATGGTAATAGCATAACCACAACAGCAACGGTACACTCGCATGCTGGCATTGGCGCCCCAGTAGCGCCACCTTCACATCCACCATCGACACGTCACTCATCGAATAGTTCAGCCGCTAGCACCGCCAGCTCGGCTACAGGTAGCGAAAGTGTTACATCCGATCAGGATCAAGCAGATAAGGTGAGCATTTTTAGTGAGGCCGACTCTGGGGTGGTTTGCTGTTCGAACACATCACGTCCGGTTTCATACGCTGGCACTGCACAGTTACAAGGTTTGCTGCAGGGTGCTGCTGCTGCGCCACCAGGTGCTGCTTTTTACTTAACTTGCCCACTCTGTCGGAAGCTGGTGTTCTTTGATGAGGGTGGGGTGCGCAATTTACCAGCCTATCGTACCATGGAATCAATTGTTGATCGTTTTTGTGCACGCGAGGCGCTACGCTGTCAAATGTGCGAGACAGATCCAAAGGTCGCATCGATTGTATGTGAGCAATGCGAAATACGCTACTGCGATGCATGTCGGGAGCTATGCCATCCAGCACGTGGCCCGCTGGCCAAACACAATTTGGTGAAACCGCGTAATGCAGCATCGCAGAGAGAGTCTGTGTGCGGTGAACACGGAGATACATTATCGATGTACTGCTTTGTGTGCAAAATGCCCGCCTGCCCACAATGCATAGCAGAGAAACAACATCCCGGACATGAGGTGCAATCCATCAGCGTCACTTGCAAGGCACAAAAGGTCAGTGTTTAGATGTCAATATTCGTATAATTATTTTTCTTAAAAATTATTATTTTATTTGCTTAATTAAAAATGTTGCATAATATGCAAGGTGATGACATTAGATAAAGTAAAGCATAACTTATTATATAAAATATGTTAAATTAAATAACTTCATCATCATCGTATGGCGTTACAGCTCCTTGTGAGCTTTGGACGTCTGTACATGTGCCCTCCAGACATCTCGGTCATTGGCAGTTTCTTTAAAATTTTGTATGTCAAGCTTCTTCATGTCTTTCTCGAGTTCGTCAATCCATCTTGATTGCGGTGACCTCTACAATTTTCTTCTGCGCTCTCTTGTTTTCCATTCTCATTACATGGCCGAGCCATCTTAGTCGATGCGCTTTGATAAAGCGTATAACAACTTCTAGCTCATGGTTCCAAAGATTTTTTTTAGGACTTTCTTTCAAAGATTTGCAGTTTGGTTTTCGCCTTCTCGATTAGAGTCCATGATTTTGCTCCGTAGCACAATACTGGTTGAATGATGGGTTTTTAGAGGGCCAGTTTACATAGCCTATTGAGTAACTTTGATTTGAACTCTTTCATTAGAGACGTGTTTGACCTATTGGCGGCTTATAGTCTATCTTCGATACTCAGGCTTGTTGAGTTCTCGATACTGAATTCGAACCATAAGCAAGTAAAGGCTTTCACAGTTTCAATATGGAGTACCTTACAAACTTGAGTAATTTAGAAACTTAATTTCATAAGTCTTAGTTATTCCATTGTATTCTTCCTTTGCAAATACTTATACCTGACTCTTAATGAAGTTATCGCATTCACATAGTTTATATTGCGATAAAGCAAGTACCGTCAAAGAAGTGAGAAGAAAACGAACTAAAGTTAAACAAAACCTAAAAAGAAAAATCGCGTTTTCCCGCAATCTCATGAATAATAAGGAAGTGAACTAGTAAGAAACACACACTGTGAAAAATAAATGGTAAATAAATCAAAACATTACAACACACTGCAAAATAAAAGAACAGCAAAGCATATCGTAAACCAAAACAAACAACATTGTGTTATCTAACACCTTGCCCAAAATTAACACTCGATTTTTGTGCTCAAACATAGAGCATTGAACATAAAAGGCAAAACCACAATCTGCACTTCCTACTTTCTTTTACAGGCACCTTCGGCAGCCTTTCCTGCCTGTGTCAGCGAAAATCCCTTCGCCACTCCATTGACCAAACTCACAACTCCCTCCAGTTAACTGTATCTTAGCCGTATCTTTACATTTTTAGACCCCGTTATTTGGTTTGTCCTGACCGCTCTGACAGCCATTTCCGCCTGCTCAGCAGAAGAAATTTTAATCGAGCCTAGAGCAACCGTGTAGTTGGTGGTATTGGCACGTCACTACCAGCCCACATCTAGCATGGTTGTAGTAGTGATTGTGAGATGTGCGAGGATTGTGAAAAGAAGAGACCTCTGCAGCACAATTTATTGCTTTGGAGCTGTCATTCTTGACTTGGGGCGCATTTGTCATGCTGGGGGTGGAGCTGGTAGCGAGTGTCCGAGTGTGTTGCGTTGCCTCTATAAGCACAAACTTTTGTATAACGGTGTTAGTAACGGATGCATACATATTTAGTGATTTCTTACAATTTTCCTTGAAGCTAATACTTCTTGTTGCTTGCGGTAAATATGGTATATGTATATGTGTATTTGTATTTACTAGAAACCCAAACAAAGCATAGCGGTGTCTGTTGGTAGGCGTTGTTTTGTGAAAGGAGTGAGCTTTAGGGTTGAATTTGCAGGGTGATAAATTAATCGAAGACTTAACTGCCATCTTAAATAGTAACTACCATGTGATTTTATTGTTACTTTATTCCTCGCCACACATACACATTTCTCGGACAATTATTATTCTTTTTGCTGTTTGTTGGCATTGTCATTGCTTTGTTGTTTTGGGGAAGACATTTAACAACAACCCAAATATTCCGATTTCTGCACATTTCGGCCAAGTCAACAAAAGCGGGCTGGTTGTTTGATCACCCAATTTTTATTTACAATATAGATGCATACATACTTATACACAGGGTGACTTACATGTAAGTATTATCCAACTGGGCCGTCAATGTACATAACTGCTTCAAATGTGGATTCTTTATACCCTGGACAGAGTATATTAAGTAAGCCACGTAATTTCTAACACGCAAAAGGAACTGTCGGAGACTCTACAAAATCGTTTTTTACTCACCAAGAAGCTGCTCATTATTCGGAACCGCCGATATCGGACTACTATAGCGCATAGCTGCCATACAAACTGAACGATCAAACTCGAAGTCTTGTGTGGAAACTTTTTATTTGTGAAGGGTATAAAATCATCGATGAAACCGAAGCTAACGTTTTTTCTTGTTTTGTTTGATTTGTTCTACATTTTTTGTTCGCTCTGTCCTAAGTACGTTTACTAAGTGGTAATTTATGTTCATTCCCATTGGCTATTGGATTTTGCTTTGTTTGATGAACCTACTCATGCGAATTTTTATTTACAGAGTATTTATCTCCTACATATGGCATCCACATATTTGAGAAACCAACATAACTCTATGTATATGTATGTTTATATGTTTTAAGTTTCTAAAACGAATGTATATTCTAAAACGTGTGTAAAAGTACAAAAAAGTAACTCGTAGTTATAAAAAGTGTTTTTTAAACTTTGAAAACACTCAATATGAGATTGAACAGAACATTTTCTTTTTACTGCAAAGACACATACCCTATCAATCTCCGCTAAAAACTGCAAGAAATTGTAAGGTTAGGTATTGCTTTACTATTAACATTTGTGAATGAAGTACAGAATAAGTAAAAAATTTTCGAGGTCAGAGCAATCAGCTGTTTATTCGCATCATTAATCAAGTGATATCTAGAAAAGTAAGAAGAAATTCACAAACCCCACCTAACTTAAATATTGATGATTTATTTACATTAACTCAGTATATGCGCGAACTAGCCCCTTAGTTTTTGAGATCTCAATATGAAATTTTGTTTGCGTTCTTTTCTCTTTTTTGTAGAGAATCGTGGAGAGCAAAGTCTTGATTTCGGTTCGCGTTAAAATAACCTTTGATACTATCAGTTATATTTAAAAAAAACTTGGCATATAAAACAATTTACATTTTTAAAGAGCATTTTATTACTTCTTTATTTGATTAAGCATTTTTAATGATATTGCTAACCAATTTAGTTAACAATCATAACCTAAAAATAAATACCAATACTTGCTTCCACATTTTTCACTTGAATCGATTTTAAAACCGCACGTAAACGTGAGTTTCTATTATAATCTACATAAGCCTTGGAGTTTACATCTTAACAAGAGCTACCCTTACTTGGGTTTCACGGCTTAATAAATAAATAATTTTGTTTTATTGTCTTGTTTAATTCTATAACATCTCTAGAATATAGTCCTAAATTTTCAAGTTGAACCGAGTAATAGTTTTGGAGATACAGCCTTGAAAAGTTCGCGCTCGAGGTCAGCTACATACCTATATAGTCACTTAAAACTTTAGACGCGTTTTTCTTTGTGTTTTTAAAGTCGGTTGTCAAGATTTCTCGCGAACTGTTCAAACATTCGAAACATAATCAACAGATTTTATACAGGTCTTTAAGATATAATTTAGAAGGAATTGAACGAAGGATTTTGATTTTTGTCCAATTACAACTATTAAAAAAATGTCAAGAAATTTTCACCAAAATACTCATTTATTTTTGTAAAAACGTCTGCCAAAAATAAAATTTTCACTTGTTTTGTTTTTCCGTCGTTGAATATCTAGTTTATAGTCTTAATGAAAACACGTATTTTTTTAATTTTTATTTTTGATAAGCCTGTAAAAAGTTCTGTTGCAAACGCGAATAAGAAAAAATTTTACTAAAATATTTAAATTTTTATATGAAAATTTTTTTCTGAAAATGGATCTTTATTTCGCTCTAAGAAACCCATGTAACCCCTAATATCGTTTTTTTTTATTTTTTTAAAAAATTATGTTAATTAGCCAGATACTTGGTGTACACACAAACAAGTATAAAAATATACAAATGGTATTACCTGCAGCAGCTGCTTTGTGAATCGAAGGTAAATATGGAAAAGTAAATAAAACTAACGATTTCGCAACTACCTGATACTACTCACTCACTATTATCAATGCTGTGAACGTGTTTGCGGACATGCACAAGTGCATCATACTCGTACATATATATATCTACAAAAAACCATTAAATTTGCAGTGTACAATACAGTCAAGAGTCAGCGATTCTGTTGTAATGACGAATATCTTACCACTGCTTTTCATTTAGGTGACCGTGAACTTGCTGACGCGACTTAGCGAAGTGTGACTAATGATAGATAAGGTGAAAAGCAGCGAAACAGGTTGATGCGATCGGTATGCCACACTGGCCGCAGAAGTGCTAAAATTTGCTCTAACGCTCGCAAATTTACATAAATACACAACTAAATATTCATACATATGTTTACCTATGGTACTCTGTTGTTAACAACAATTACAGCATTTTATCGTTTCGCTTTCAACCACAACCAGCACACACACCGAGAGCGCTGGCATGTAAGCGATATGTGCGCACAGTTAGTCACTTTTTTCCAATTTTTGCATATCTTATCTGGTATACTCCACCTCACCAGGTGTGTTTGCCGTTGCTGTGTTGTGTTTATTTGTAAGTGTCAAATAATCTTTGTATGCTTAATGTGTAGCCAACCACCTTTTTGCTACGACCGTCTCCTCGGTGACTTCGCCAGCTACGAGCTTAATAAAGCGAAAAAAATAAAAAAGTTCGAATTGTCAGCTGTCACTGTGTAACATTTTTCATCTTCCAAACTCATTGCTTTGGTTTACCTTTCATTTGCTTGAGTCTGTTCGTCATTTTACACTCTCAACTGACAGAAAAATGTCTCTTTAGTAAATTTTAATTTTCATGCAAATATTCGTCCGTAGTCACAATATCCCAAACAACAA